TAATTGTTGCAGATACATTTCTAAATGTGTATACCCCGAACTAAATTCAAGGGGATTATCTACTAAGCGCTAACATAATCAAACAATTAAATCATTGTTTACATCCTTTGTATGGAAATACCAATACCCCTGCATCTCTTACCAGGTGTTGATAGGACTATTAAAAAAAAATTGGGATTAGGCCTCCCACATGTCTTCCACTACTATCTCGCTGCAGTGGACCACACCCGACAAATGCAAGTCATGGCACGCAATATTACAAACATTTGAAAAGGTTCCCCTCCACACCATCTCGTGTCAGTTTTGCCCAATAGATGACCTGATTGTCCCTTCCCACCCCCTCCTAGGACATATCCTTCACACATGGAGACACCTCAGAAACCACCTCAAATTATTTTCCAGGGGTTTTCCCACTCCTCTCATTAATTGACAACCCAGGTTTCAAAGGGGCATCGGAGCCTCTACCCTCCACCGACTAACAGGATCTAACCACCACCACCACAACCACCACCCTCTAAAGATATTTTTCAGAGAGACACCTTTCCCAAGATAACTGACCTATCCTGCCGACCCTCCCACCTCTCACTACTGGATACCTTTAGTACACTACCTTACGACACTGGGAGCAATCCAGACCAGAGCAAGAGACTTGATCCCCTTTGAGACCAACACCATGCTCTTGACTGGCTTTGCCAGACCCCTGTCGCAGATCTATGGGTTGATACAACATTACACTTCCGAACCAGAACCCAGACAATTCCATCGACAGTGATCAGCTGGGCTCAGAGTCCAGCCTTCAGAAAAAGAATGGGCTTTTATTTTTGGTTAAGTCAGCTTTGGTAAGCCTATCTAGGAGATAAACCTTTTACAAATGTACCACTAGATGGTATTAAACCCCTCCCTCCTACACTCCCTTATACCTACTGTTAACAAGGAAAACTGGACATCTCAGGAAGAAGAAGGAAGTACTGCTCTTTTTGGAGCCAGGTTCTATCACTTATTAAAACAATTCTACTGGAAGTCTGCTCACTCACAACCTCCCAAGTCTTGTTGGGGTTGCCGAACTCCCTTCCAAAATCAGGAATTATTGT